GAGGCCATGGGCCCTAAAGCGAAAAAACCTCTAAAAAAAAAAAAAAAAACAGTACATTAGATAATAGACTATTATTCAGTAGTAAAAAGAAAGGAGCTATTTAGTTGTTTTTTAGGGTTTTTTTTTTTTTTTTTTGGAGAGGTTTTTGCTGTAAGGCGTGTGCACTCACCAGAAAGACGAAGACAGACAGAGAGACAGAAAGTGAGAAATCAGCCCCCAGGGGGAGATGGCCATGCCACAATCACTTCTCCTCCATTCTCCTCTTGGGACCTTGGGCACGCACACACATGTGCCCGGTGTGAGTTTAAGCCACTGGATCTGGGACTCAAACCGCAGTCTACTATGTGGGAGTCCAGCAATGTAGCCATTACACATCTGCTCGTCCCAAGAAGGGAGCTATTAAGCCATGAAAAAACATGGAGGAAACTTAAATGTATATTACAAAGTAAAAAAAAAAAAAAAAGCCACATAAAAAGGCTCTTAACTTCATGATTCCCACTATACAACATTCTAGAAAAGGCAAAATTATAGAGATCGTAAGTAAAAAGATCATGGCTGCCAGGGTTTGTGGGTGAGGGCAGGGATGAATAGGAGGAACACATGATTTTTTAGTGTATACTCCATATACACTACAATGATGGATACATGGCGTTACATTTGTCTATATACAATATTAAGACTGATCCCTAATGTAAACTGTGGACTTTGGATAATTAGTGTCAACAAAGGTTCAACTGCAACAAATGTTTTATTCCCATGGGGGATGTTAATGATGGCAAAAATCAGATTCTACGCACTGATGAGGGTAGAGGGTAGGCAGAAAATCTCTGTACCTTCTCCTTAAATTTACAGTGAATTTGAGGCCAGTGGATGGAGTAATGGTTACATCACTGGACTCCCATATAGTTGACCATGGTTGCAGTCCCAGGCCTGGTGACTTAAAACTCATGCCAGGCACGCATGTGTGTGTGTGCCCAAAATCCCAAGAAGAGAATGGAGGACAAGGGATTGAGGCATGGCCATCCCCTCTGGGGTGTGATTTCTCGCTTTCCTTTTCTCTGTCTCTGTCTCTCCAGCAAGTGCACATGCCCTATAGCAAAAATCTCTCTTAAAAAAAAAGTTTACTGTCGGGACCAGCAGTTGGTGTAATGGCTATGTTGCTGGACTCCCACGTAGTCGACCGCGGTTTGCGTCCTGGACCCGGTGGCTTAAAACTTATGCTGGGCGCGTGTGCGTGCATGCCCAAGATTCCGAGAGGAGAACGGAAGAGAAGGGATCGCAGCGTGGCCATCCCCCCGGGGGGTGATTTCTCAC